CTCGCCGCTCGAGCAGTCGCGATGCGTCTCCTACGCTCTTGATGCCTTACGGTTGACCGATTCGCATGGCCTTTACGAGCGCAAGATGCGCGCAATCCACCACAGTAAACTGAATTAGCAGCCAGTGGCCGGTCAGATTCTCCGTTCAAAAAACAGGCCAGCCTCCCAACCCCTGCTCCCTCACCTCTGACTTGGCAACCCCGCGGTCACAATCCCAAGAGAGATGTTTTATTTGAAAGTAAAGTTTTCGAAGTTTTTGCCGGAAGATATTCCGAAGAAAAGGTGGCGAGCGAACGTTGCTTTCGATAACTTCTCGTCGGGCCAGAACAGTTATATGGGACGGGGTACAGCAAGTGAAAAAAATCGATAAAATTTAGTTTTAAAATACAGGCTAGGCAGGAGCGGAAGGGCGCAGAAAGTTGTATGTGATTGGTCAACCTTTGACCACGGTAAGCGCGGAGCCTGGACGAGGTTCTTCTAGGAGCATAGGGTCAGTTTTCGTAACCTGAGGGCGGCCACTTCTGCTGTTGCTAACAGACGCTCGCCCAGTAGCTTAAGGTAGCTTGAGGGGACCTTATAAATCACACGAAATGCTTCAGTGGGATCCACACGATGTCCTGAATCCACTGCATGCGCAAGGATGGCGCTGTCTATTCCCCTAGTTTTACCTATTGTCAGCCATGTGGGAAGGTGCTCTCGTATTCTTTCGGAAAGGCGCCGACTCGTACGACCAATATAACCTGCTCCACAGGAGCAAGTGAATGAGTAGATGCACATTGAGGCGGTCTGCGGTGGCAGCCTATCCTTGCCTTCTCCGCGTAAAATAGGGTTTGTAGAGAATGATATGCGAACCGTTGCAGCTAGGAAGGTTCCCGAGACAGCTTGGTCAAGGCGTCTTCTATAAACTATGGGCAAAACGCAAACGGCAGAGTGTTGGAAAAGCACGCAGAGCAGGAATATAGAGGGCGCAAGTCTTATCATATCTGCTGTATCCGTTGCAAGCATCAACGTTCACTGCGTCCGCCACGGAGTGGGCGCAGCACGCTGACTTGGGCGTTAATTAGTTTACGGTGAGGTAGACTTTTGCTGTATCTATCTCATTCTCCCCTCCCACACCGGCCTTGCTGCGACGCTAAGACGACCGAAGGTGGGCTCTGATGCAGTGCCCGACAGCGTTAAACACACCCTCTACGAGTGCCACACACGGCCTGGCCCCACAACACGTATCAGACTTTCACAGAGGGCAGTTCGAACCTCATGAACGTAAGGGCGACATAAAGACAACAATAAAAAAGAATTTATTGGTATCGACAAATTGCTAAACGGTTCATCAGCTGCGTTCCGTCGCTTCATAACATAACTAACGAGTGAGGAGAATACAACAGTTTGAATTCGTGCAAAAAATCAGTACAAAACAGCAAGGTTATGGTTTAGGGTAATGCAGGCTAATCAATAAAATTAGTAACTTAAACGTCATATAGGAAGGATAGCGGGAAAACGTTAACAAGCAAGAGGGAAAGGGGGAATTGGAAAATCAGGAGCTAGAGGTTACTGCGGCGAAGTTAGGCTGACCACATGTTCCAGCTGTTTGCATAGGTCTGGTTTCACCTGTCGTATATAGGCCGCCTTCAGGTCTGGTTTTTTCGTGTCCGAACAAGTACTCGGCCGAACTTATATTATGCAGTCCTACTAAGCCTCTTCCAATTCCACGGAAGAAAGATGCCTTGTAAATGCAAGCCAATTCAAAGTGTGTTTATGAATTCACGTGCACTTGCGGATGCAAGTACAGTGGGGGAACGCAAAGGCACTTGGCAGCCAGGTCAATTAAGCAACTGCCCAGATGGATTCCAAAGCAAGATCCCGCGTTCCTCTATTACTAAACGCCTGCTAAATAATCGTAACTCTGAAGATGAAGATGCGATCACTGGAACAAGAAATTTATTGGCCTGACGTTTCGGATTCTCACTCGAATCCATCATTAGAGACATTCGCAGATAAAGATGATGGTGGCACCAGGAGTGCAGTATTTATAGCACGTGGCTGCCGTGGGACCTTATGCGCACTGTCTCCGATGTTGGATTCGAGTGAGAATCCGAAACGTCAGGCCAATAAATTTCTTGTTCCAGTGATCGCTTCTTCATCTTCTGAACTGCTACCTGGAACTCGCCTGTTCCCTTCTATCGGCAGTCGTAACTCTCTTGATCCCAAAACGTCCTTCCGAGTACTTGTTCTGGCACGAAAGAACCAGACATTGCGTTACCTGGAGGCGGCCTATATACGACAGGTGAAACCAGACCTGTGCAAACAGCTGGAACATGTAGTCAGTCTAACTTCACCGCAGTAACCTCTAGCTCCTGATTTTCCTATTCCTCCTTTCCTTCTTGCTTGTTAACGTTTTCCCGATAATTCACGAATTACACGAATTAAACTGCTGTATTCGTCCCACCCGTTATTTATGTTGTGAAGCGACGGGACGCAGCTGATGATCTGTCGCGCAATTTGTTGACACCAATAAAATCTGCTTTGCGCGCTTGTTTCAAATTGCCACCGGGGAAAAAGGCTTCAAATGAAAAAGGAAACATTGAACTTGGCTGTCAGTCCTGAATAGGATCGAGTCAGTTAGCAACCCCTCAATTGATTCGAGCGTGTGAGTTTTTTTATTAGTTAGGATTGCATTTATTTGCCGCGGGGATCGATCCCCGAGTGTCAGCCTTACCATCTCTTTCCTCTTCCATGCACCAGTCGACTATCCGGGCCAGTCAGCCGGCTCGTGTTGAGATTGGGTGACGAGATGGGAAGACCTACGTGTAGGTGTGCCACCTCCCTCCCCCTCCCTCTAACTCTCCCCCCCCACGTACAGGAGTAGCTGTAGCCTCGCTCGGACTCTGAGCCGCCCGTGCTACCGTCTGGCTTCCGTCTTCTCTCAGCGTTCCTAAGGTGCGGCCTGTGAGGTGGGTCGTATCGCACCAGGGCTGACATGACTAATTGTTGATAAGGTGACAAACGGGGTAGATATGGCGAAAACCACGCCGTGTTGGATAGACCCACATCACATCAATTAGACTTCAGGAATTCGGTCTGAGAAATGCCTGGTGGTTACAAGAAGGCGTTGCACAGTGTTATCGACCAAGGTGGGGTATAGAACACCAGCAACAGAAGAGAGCGTACGAAAGATGTGTCTTTAAGTGAGGATGTTCATTTTCAATAAATCAGAAAGAATAGTAGGTGGATAATATAGAATATGAAGGGGGAAGGCAAGCATTTACAAACCACCAAGTGAACCGCTGCCGAGTCTGGCAGGAATCCAAGTTTCGCATTTAATATGAGGATTAATACATATTGTTAAAAGGGACCGGGGATACTAAAGGGCGTGGTGGCACTAAGGAATCGATAAAATGAAATTTATTCGGAATAACGTCAAACAAAACAGGATTGTGAGATAATTGGAGTTTAGAAATACAGGGAATCGTTTTCTGGCCGTTGAAATGGAAGCCAATTCTCCGATGATCCGTCTGAGACCGGATTCAACTGCTTCTTTAAAATCGGAGAGTTACGTGGTTTTCAATGAGGTAAGCGAAATAAAATCGGGACATGCATACAATCTACCTCTGCTCTTGGGGGTTTTTTAATTCACTTAGAAATTAATCGCTAACCTGGAGTAAATCAGTCCATCCGAGTTTTACAGACTCAGACTGAAATTTGGCATGAATACTGGGACCGAAGTCCATCAGCTACAGCGGAATGGTCGCGCAATACTCACAAAGTTCCAAAAGGCAGCAACCTGTGCATATATCACTAGCTGCCTGTTGGTAATTTATGAACATTATGTGGTTAATCCGCTGTGACTGATAGGCTTGGGCACAAATATCGGTTTGATCGCAGTTGGTAGCCAGGCCCCGTATTACAGGTGGCGGAGGAGTTTGTTTACTGGGGCTATTTTGTGGGGCTCCATAATCACATATGACCCATTCGGCTTCCGTTTTACGTTTGAGGTTAAGATTAGGGTACCGGTTAATGGTTTCCGATTTTCGGGTTAGGGTTATGCCCTTTAGGCTTAGGTTTTCGGGTTACGGTTAGGGTTTGAGCGTACGATTAGGTTTCAGTAGTACGGTTAGGTTTTCCAGTTACGACTATGTCTAAGGCCTACGGTTAAGTTTACGATTTCCGTTAGGGCTAGAGTTAGGGTTGCCGTTAGGGTTAACGGTTAACGTTTAAGGTTGAGGTTAGGGGTAGGGTTAGGGTTAAGGTCGCCGTCCGCTTCCCCGTTCCTGGCTACCAACTGCGATCTAGCCCAAATATCCATCAAAAATTTCACTCTGGGTCTGGGACTGGTTTTCTCCTAGTTAACGATTAGTTCCTGGGGAAAGTAAAAAGCTGAAATCTCAAAGCTGAAGTATCTGCCAGAAAGTACATGGGGGATGCCGCAGGATCCACTTGTGGGCCGAACCCCACGCAGCGGTGTCATGCAGCGGCAGAATATCGGCGAAACATGTGTCTGGGCTTTCAGCTAGCACCTGTGCGGTCATGTGTGGTATGCCGTACAATCCATGTACCTCTGCTCTGACCAGGGGGTTGTCCCACTTGCCCGGTGGCTCAGTTGACCGTTATGCAAGCATGTCAGTCAGCTCTCTCCGACCGGCGGCTTTGAAGAGGCCATTATATACCTTCCTTTGGCTGTGGGCGCCGGGCACAAGGTCCGCAAATCCGCCCGATATGGTAAAGACCATCAGAAGTTCGTGTTTCGTTCAGCAAAAAGACTAAAGGGACAAAATTCACTGCGCGTGACTTCGATCACTTCGGACATAGCATGGGCTCGTGCATGAACTAACGGAGCTTCCGGTCCGACGACCAAGTTGGTCGGGGTTCAAACTCTCAATATCTCTTGCTTTCGGTTCGTGTTGCGGCTAGATGATGTGGACAGGCAGGCGAGAAATGACAATTCCTGTCTCCCCTATACTTATAATACCCTTTCCTGAAAGAAGTGGAATCAGAATTAGGGCTGCAAGCGGCACAGGGTGCAACCACATCATGAAAATCCCTGACTCCTTTTATAACTACGCACGATATCTGCCTACCCAAAGACATGTGGAAAAGCGATTACGGGCAGTAAAACTTGATATGATTGGTAGCCGGTCCCTGGGTCGTGCGGTGGGTTAGGCAGATAGCCAGAAACTGGGAGTACAATTGCTTATCCTTATGAATCATCTGCATGCAAATGCAGAATTCTCGAATAAACTGGAAGAAACCAATCGGTTGGCTTCCCAAATGTTTACCGTGGGGGAAGGAGGTGGCTCCAAACAGAGATCCATGCGCGGAAAGGCAAGTTTTGACGTCCCAGAATTCTAAATTTTGGGTCTTGTTCCCACTTTGACGAAAAAGGATTGTAGTATAACACTGAAATGCTGAAGGACGAAATCAGTTTCCCAAGAGTGCACTAGGAAGCAATGACTGCCCCGAGGTGTTCGTCTAAAAATAGTGCCAAGTTGGGACTGTGAAATCGGCGAGACCGTTATTTTCACAGAAATGTGTGAGTATTCACCTCCACTTCAAGCGTGGCCATGTATGCGTTTTAATAGCTGTTTTGACAGATTTTAATAATTCCTCTGGGCCATTTGTTAAAAAATCGGCGACCTAAGTGCGATCCGAATCGACGACAGCAAGGGGAGGGCTTTATTACAGCCAACGCTCTAGCCATCTGATCTCCGACGCCTCACCGGAAGCCGTGAGTCTAATCACACGTTGGTCAATTTACCCACCCAGCCAACTGTGAAGTATGGACTTCACCAATACTGATGCAGTAAGCTGACTGCCCAGGCGGGATTTTCTAAGCATTCAATCTGAAATCCGCCTGATGACTACCAGGCTGGCATAACTAATACGTGTTTTGGTAGACTTGAATTATTCCACTGATCCATTTGTTAAAGTGTAGTGACATTTAAGTCCGTCTTGTTTTAATCAGTTACAATACGCTCTTTAAAGAACTTGACACAACTTTACATGAGACATAGAACAAGCACGTGCATTTTTACCTGCTGACGACTTTGTTCTTATTGACTACTTTGTAACTGTTGGGATACTGCTATCTTCACTTCCTGGATAGCTTCTCACTGTGGCCAACTAATGGATTTATCACTTACAAAAGACTCCGCGGCCTCTGTGGGATCCGAACCCACGACCCAAATGTGATTAAACTCACGGCCACCAGTGCGGCCTCGTAGCTCAGGTGGTTAGAGCGTTGACTGTACCCAAGTCTTGCTCTTGCTGTGGCGAGCTCTGATCCCATTGCAGCCGCCCAGTTTTCATAGCTGGGTCAAAGAAAATATATCCATCATAATCAAACACAGATTTCGCAGCATGATCAGATGAACATACATCGGTGCCGACCCTATGCGCCTAAGTTCAGCAATGGCTCCCGCGGCCTGCGCAAAGCAACCGCTTCTTGTGTTTATGAGCGTAACGGTGGATGCAGACGCGTATGCACTGGGTGCACACAATGGCAGATTAGTCGTCCGAACACCTGCCAAACAGACTGTACGTAATTCTATGACAAAACACCTGGTAGAAAATGACCAGAACTGGTGCTTAAAATCCTCATATGCGGAAGGATTTAATGTCTTCTATGCTACACTGAAACGGCAGCGAAATGAAGTTGGGAACAAGATTTCTACGAAAAGTTAGGCCTAGCACTTTCCTGAATAGCTTGTCTATTTAAAGAAATTCGCGTTTTAGTACAGGCGACCTCTCATGCGCAATTCACAAGGCATTGAAGACTTTTCAAGATCAAATATTACGAGTGTCCGAAGGTGACTTTCCAAGATGCCTGCTCATGGTAACTAATCGCCGTGCTTATGCAGTGGTTCACAGTACTGCAAGGTTCACCATACTCACAGCACAGGTACTCGCTAAAAGTTCAAAGTATTCATTCTAAGTTCGAGCATTAATTTATCAGAAAATGAAGGGGGTGGCACTAAGTGGTTTGTTACATGCAAGTAGGCGATTTTAGAAATCTTCGGTGGCAAGTCACCATGTCATTCAGCATGGAATGACGTGAGCCTGGGCTACTGGCGGGTCAGTACTAAGAGCAAGTTTGCCTAAGACTACGACGACCCATGCGTCCTAATAGAGACATATTCAACATTTAGCGATTGCAGTGCACCTCCTTCACTGAGAACTCGATTATACGGGCTTGTGAAAAAAGGACGTGTTTGTCCTCACCTGAGTAATAATCTGAGAAAAAACCAGATTTAACGGCATGAATAGGGTCGTATGAATGTACATCGACTACTGCATTATATTATCTGGTGTGTAACAGTTGAAAGTGTTATCAGTGTTGGCGGGTTTACCTCTTCTCCAAACTGGTGGGGATTGCCAAGACCTACAGGTACGATGAAACAAATGTAAGGTCTTGTGGTGAATGCAAAAGGCCTTTTTTACTGGTGAAATAACAGTGGCGGCGACTTGCTATGTGATCTCTTATCCCGTCAGAGAAGAAGGATGATGATGATGATGATGATGATGATGATGATGATGATGATGATGATGATGATGATGATGATGATGATGATGATGATGATGATGATGATGATGATGATGATGATGATGATGATGATGATGATGATGATGATGATGATGATGATGATGATGATGATGGCGACGAGGGGTTGTGACGGTGGTGGTGTGGCGGCGGTGTTTTTCTGGTTGTAGAGTTTTCTCTGGTCCACCGCCCTCCCTATTCGCTAAAATGCGATATAATACTTAGTAGGTTACAAGAGGCAGCCTATATGACCTTTATGGGCCCCAATATTCAGGCTCCATTTTTGAAAGCCTCAGTTTATGGTTGCATTGTATGCAAGCCCTTTGCTAAGTCAATTCGTGGCTCTATCCGCGTCCCGTTTATATGCATGTAGTGTTTTCGTTTGTACCTAAGGGTAACACGTCGTCTATACTATCAAAACGGTTCCTATTTTAAAGGACCAAAATCCTCTTAAGCGAAAAGAAGCAGTCATTGTTCAAAAGGATACATTAATAACTTTGGATTCCGCCACTTAAAGTTGGCTGAATGGATCTGATACAGATTTTTTGCGCTTTGCGCCAAGTCGGATCGTGTCTGTTAGAAACACTGGCTAATATCAGTATGTTTTCATCGAGTGTCTAAAATTTCCGATAACAACTGCTCGTGAGCCGATGACATATAGTTGGCTACTTTATAGTGAGGTGGCTGGAGGACAGTCTATATCTACGGAGACCCGAATTCTACTCATTACCAAGGCTTGTATATCTCCCCCCGTTTCTGTTGGTTTTTATTTACCTTCGACACAGAGGGAGCAATGGCTCCCTGTCGGGTTGTCCTCTGTCTTTGCGAATGCATAAAAACAATAAAATATTGGCCCACTACAGTCTCAGAAATCGACAAGTTATAAAGCGTACGCTGGCATAATTTGTTATCTCCCGACACTAGGGCACCTGTCCACATACGAAGTAAACGAAGAAATGTAAGACGGAATCAGTATGCCGTGTCTGTCAATAAAAATGATTTAATCTATGCAAGCTGTCAGCTTCCACCTTCACACTTACTGGCTCCTGTGAATTTCCTGCCGAGTGCTTCGGTTAACAGCCAGCGTAAGCCAAGGCTCATGACATAGCTGCGAGTAGACAAGAACCAGGGCATTGCTAATGTGGATTGCTGAATCAAGTGGCTCAATATTGGTAAGTAGTTCTCCCAGTTCATAGTATATCCATATAACTGAATTCAGCAGACCACGACCCTGTTCCAAATAAATATCCACATTTCCACCTTTAGTAACCTATCAAAGTATTATGGTGATTAAAATGTATAGGCTATGCCAATTTTCTGAAAACTGTCTTTCTATTTCGCTAATGCGCTTTGTCTAACCACCCACACATTTTAGGCCATCACATAATGAGCCCTGCCGGCCGACCGACAGGACAGTGATAGCTTAGCCAAAGGACACCCCCTGAGAATTCGGAGTCATGCGTTCAACCCCGTTCCCCGAATCTACATATTAAAGTCCCCTATCAGACTGTTTGACAAAAACATTTACCATAATTTGAGTTTTTCAGGGTAGAGGTCGATTCATGTCATAAGCTACAACACTCACCGATCAGCTACTGAATAAACTGTACCTCGCGTGTCTCACGAAACGTCAGCCGAGATTCTGAAATATAATTTCGGTTGGAAAGCATTGCTTAGATTGGCTGCACGATTAATTTTCATGCAGCCTAATTCCAAGATATTTCAGCCATACCAGGAGTTTGGCTTCTGAATGCGCGTTTTTCCAACCGCCCTCAACAATCACACTCGTTACAAAAATGACTGTTTAATTAGCAAGTAATGTTTTCAAGGATTTTCGCTATTCTTGTACATACCGACGTACTTTATGGGCAAGATACACAAGAATACCACTTCTTGTATGCATTTTGCAGAAAATTCCGCCTTCTTCTGATTTTCTACTCGATAAGGAATATTACTTAGTTCTAAGAGGTGTATCAAGTCCTGAATAATTTTGAACCCTACTTGTCGTTATGCTTTTGTCTAGGGTTTCCAGTTCACAAGATTAGGGAAAAGTATACTTTTCTTTATAATTCTGCCTATGCTATTTTAAACCGTATGTAGGCCACGGCGTAAACCTCATCACTGCTCTGATAAAACAAGTTATCGAGCACAAATAAAGTACCTCTATAAACTGTCCTTCCACAATGGGTACCCGCATGACTTTATACGTCAGAGCATGAGGCGCCAGCAATTCAAGAGAAAAGGTATTTCCAATGCTACGGCCGCTCGGACACCAAAACCAACCACCTGGAGAACACTCCCACACGGGAAAATGTATCTGAACTAGTCGAAAGACATTTAAAAAATTACCAGATACACGTAGCACATCAGCCAGCAACTACCTTACGCACACAGTTTGTACACCCTAAGGACAGGGTCGGCTACCTCGAAAGAAAAGGTGTTCTCTGCAAAATCCCGTGTTCTAGTTATGATGCCGTCTGCTGTGGCCAAACCCGTATACATGAACATCAGTTGGCGGTGAAGAGACGCGACCATCTATCCCAAGTGGTCATGTACACACTGGACACAAATTCGCATGGGAAAACACTCGCTTTGTTGGCGCCTGCCCAATAAGGAAGGGCCGCGAATTCCTAGGCGACGAGGCATGCATCAACCGGCATATCGATATAGATGCCACATACAAAATCGTTAAGGACAGATTCCAACTGACCCAACCAGTCTTGAGAAGATGACTTTAATCAATCATAGAATCCTTTATCAGACTCGGTCTATAAGTTAATTGTTTTTGCACGCCCATTGTCTGAAGACGAACTGGGGAACCAGTCTCGAAAATTTACACAATAAAGTTTACTGTTTCCCAAAGAATTCCATATTCCTATTTACCACAAAAATGGAATAAAAGATGCATTTGTTCATGCTTTTCATGAAGTATGTTTGGACACCGCAATTCAATGGCAAAGTGCATATTACTTCTACGGTCTTGCTTGGCTGAATTTCACTTTTTCAGACAGTCGGAAAAAGGTGTATTCAAAAGACGGCATCCTAGGATGACTAAAATATCCTGAAATTATGCTACATTCTAATCAATATTACATCCGCACGTAAATAATCCTTTCTACCTGAAACCACACTTCAAAATCTTGCTTGACATTTCATGAGACACATAATCAAGAGTAACTACTTGATGGTCGGGCAACGCTGGCCAACCGCTGTAGCGATGGCTCTCGGCTGATCAAGCACTCCGGGTAAGCATTTGGAAGAATAAAATGCACCTGGTTAACGGGGTCTTTGTGCCAAATTGGGCACCGAAAACGGGCTGCCGCGTTATACAAAATATAAACAAGAGCCAGATGAGTGTGCAGAACGTGTGAGACGGAGACGTTGTGCCACGTCAGCCACTACACCTGATCGACTTGAATAGAGGTTGCCAGCGGTGAAATACTTGAAGGAACCGAGGAAGTCAGAACACCCTTGCGTGACCTTTCCCAACTACATAAAAAAATCTCGGTGCAATGAAGCTCTTGGCATGGAGGGCTGTCAACTGGCGGAGTAATGGAGTCCTCTTCCAAAATGAAGGTCAGGTTGCGATGATTTCTTTTTTCTTCTGCTTATTCGTCTTCATGTTGTTCGGCTTCTAGTTCTTTTTTTCACTCCGAATCGGCGAGAAATCAAAGTGGTACAAAGGAATGGGAATCGCCGCACATAATATAGATGGCTTTGTAGTAAATTCTAGGGCGGATACTGTAGGTGGGCTAACTCATGAAATGTCAACCGACATCCCGAAATGCGCTTTCGTTTCGAAAATATTAATTAAGTAGCCTTGTAAAACTAATCATCATGCAGCATAATTGGTAACAATTGGGAGATGGCACCCAAGAAATTCCGTTACCGGTGAGAATATGCCGGAGGACTGCATCAGTGTTCGTCCACAGGCTGATGAAAGGAATAAAATAAGGGTATTTTACTGAGGGCCGGAAAACTTTAAAAGCATACAATCATAGACAGACGGTGTCATCAGCTAAGCAATTTCACAAAATGGCAACTCTCGTCGGGGTCAAGTGCGGCGATGTTTTCAATCACGTCCTCTGTGTTTATTGAACGTGCAGTTTTGAAAGCGAGGATATGAAGGCATAGGGTCATGAACAGCACAACGTAGAACGTTTCCTTTAGCCAACTGCATTCCGCATTCAATCCCCTATTTAACAAAGCAATTAAGCAGGGAATACGAGCTGGATCGACTTCATATTATCTGTCTCTTCAAGTAAATCCGACATCGCGCACATTTTTGTTGCCATATAGTGATGAGGTTCAACCTTATTTTTCGAAAAGTCATTTCTGAAAAACTTCTTGGTATTATTTATATTTATCCACGCAATCGAAGGCCTCACCCGTAAAACCCCTATTACCACCTGTCCTGTAAGACGGGCTGCTTTGGTTGGGCGGATTTTTTTGGGTGCCATCTCTCAATTGTTACCGCATAATTCTATAACAGTTCAGTTGCCTCGAGATGCCAGTTTTAGAACGAACTTATTTTCGGCTGCATGCAAAAACTATGCTATGTAAAATATGACTACTTAGGTAGCATGTATTTTTCTCATCGATTTTCGATGTCCTTAAAAATTCCTTATATTTCATGGGAAAAATGCATAAAGATTATTTATGCTTTTGCTGATTCGGCGGAAAATTACGTCTTCTTCCAATTTTACACTTGAGGGAAGGGTATAATTTGGTTTTCAAAAACTTTGCCAATTTCTGAATAATTTTGAACCGGACCTGATGTTTACTATCTTACAACTTCCTCGAGCTGTTGACTTGGAATACTCCTTAATGGGCCAGGCAGTTGATACCGTTTATAATTCCTACGAGTTAGAACAGTTTTATGAAAGCTTCTAGATGGTAGACGTAGAAACTTCGCGCAGTGAGATGATTTTTCACTTTGAGAAAATATCATACTGTCTATTCCCATCCTCTTTACGAAATTCATGCTAGTTGCTATACCTCTGAGCTATCTCGACTAGGTCTGATAGTCGCGCAAATCAATGAGTATTCCCTTCCTATATCATGCGCCGCTGTGCGGCTGCTGGTTGGGCTCGAGAGAGAGTCCATAAGGCACAACGGAACGAGTGAGTTCCG